AAGCTTCCTAACTCTTTAGCTCACGCCTCATGTACACGATAAAATCATCATGATTTATTACTACTGCGAAATACTTGCACAAGTCAGTACTGTTTCAGATCAACTTTAGTCAAGACATTGCATTAGTAGTAGTACACTCGGGGGTGTATATTTGCCTTCCAAATGGTTATCGAATACAAAAGAAAATGTCATTAAATCGAACACAAGTGTGCGAGGTGAACCAACTGTTCTGGATCGTGCCACAAAACATGTGGCCCAAATGATAAAAACTGACGAGGCAAGGGAGTATGGATAAATGTGTGACTGATCTGGGTATCGTAGTACATATCCGCTTAAATTACATGAACGACGGGCAATGAAATGCAAGCATATATAAACTGTGAGGAGACGAATAACGGCTCTAGGTGGAGAACATAAAAATAAAGCCTTTTGACTTGCAAAAATATTATTCACGTTCCCAGATCAAGTGAGAGGTCTGTGAAGAATAATATCTAACCAACGGATGTATCGCTGATTTTTTTCGAGTTGTGGTCAAAACTATCGGCAGTCATCGAGTTTTCTTGACCACTGTTACTGGTAGACTGCGAATCTTCGGAAATGTGCTCGGACCGCATCCTCCCTGACCCTACTTTATTCACTCTTACTCACATGTGCGATTGCTCGTATCCCCATCCCAATGATACTAGGCTAGACTGGTCTTCTCGGATCTATTCATCCGGGACCTAGCCTTCTCACTATCCAGTTTCTTTTTAAGTACTAATCCGGATTAAAGATTCCGGTTCCTGACCCGAGGAGTCACCGTTCGACCCCCGCCAAAAGTGTACACCAGTGAATAATATGGTGTTCTTTGTCCGCTTTTACACCTAATCTAATTAAGAAAAATAAACTCCACTGGGTTATCAGAACACAGTTGTGGTATATTTTTATTACCCTAGGTTTTCTTCATGGGACAAATATGGCTTCGTTTTGCTGTAGTCAGTAATGCAATGAAAAAATATCTTCGTGGTTTTGAAAGAATTGTGGTGTTGAATTGCGTAGCCATTAGTCAACCTAGCCGTTTATTTCCTTTGCTGTGTATCACACCATTAGGAAGCTTCTGGAGCAAGGAGGTTGTTCTGATTGTTCTTGAGGTCTATTCTGACGATATTTGAGCCCCTCTCTGACAAAGGTGTCCACGATGTTTGCAATTCTCAACTGATATAATAGGGCCGAAAATTACAGTTTATATTGTTAAACAGTACATCAGGTTACACAAGAATATGACAGGGACGAATCACCACACTTTTACCACTGTCAAGGCAGTGACAATATCACTGACAGTTCCTTTGGCACGCACACACATACAGGCCAGGTTTCCACTTCATGATTACAACCAACTCCACAAACCTAAGCAGCCGGGGGTTGATGTTGGCATAAATGATCTTAAATCGGCTTGTCGGGTCCGAACCATAATTCGTCATCAACAAATGTCGAGCGATAGATGACACAGGCTCTTTGTGTATAGTTTGTAGTTTTCTGCCGTCTTGTACCAGTGGAGATGCAGCCAAATCTGCCTTAGCGTAAATCGTGCAACCTAGCTTTGTTGTGCTCTCTCTCTCTCTTGAAATTTATCTCGGTAAATAAATGTTTCAAGTTTGCGATTCTGTCAGGGAATGCGCTATTCTTACCGTTTAGGTTACTGACTTGGTCAGGTGAACCATCGCAACGTTCTCCTGTCTACCTATTTCGCTTGCCTACACTT